CTCGATCGAGTATAGACCAAAATCAGGATTTTTCCTTCTTTTTGTCTTGTACTCTTGCACCTTCCTTCACCATTGATCATTTGATTGATCTTGGACCTGTTTAAGCTCAGAATAAACCTAATCTAAACAAATTACAAGAATTTAACAAACTAAACTATTACACCGAAAGTGTGTAATTTCCGAAATATTAAACAATCAAAACTAACTAAAAGCGTAAATAAACATACGGAAATTACAAACGTATCACCAAGTATTAGATAAATGGTAGTTTAAATATGATTAAGAAAAGGGATGCAACATACTTCATATGTTCCTTATAACTTTGTCATTTGTCCATTTTTTGATGTCCTAATAACTTTGTCATTTTCTCTTTTAATCAATGATTTTGTTCCTGTTATTTCTCTCTCGTTTTCATATATCTCAACCACACAGTTTGTACTTTATTATTTCTCGTGCCGGTCAAACTTGGCAAAGTATTGTAGGAAAGGAGGGAGTGTATATTATTAATTCCAGTCAAATAATAGATGAATTAGATGTTTTCATTGAAATTTGAGAATATAATTAAATAATCAATACTACGTATTGTATATGAAATTTTATTTATTTAAATGTAGATGGAAAATTCTTATCGTACATGAATTATACACAAAGTGTACACAAAACTCTCGGAGTTGCATGTGTACATAGGCACTTCGTTTAAAAGGGAACATGATTTGATATCAAAACTCCCTAATTGTCTGTGTACACACAGGTACCGAAGATAATTTGGTACTATATATTCTCAAATTTCATAGGATTGACCAATCATGCTGATCCTCTTTGGCAACGGCCCTATTTGAAGGGTGAGAAATTATTTGTAAAACACTTATGTAACAACAATAATTTAAAGGTAAGAAGTACGTAGTATAAAAATTGTGATTATGTGGGAAGTGTGAAAAGGATTGCTCCTATAAATAATACTCACTCCGTTCTCTAATACTTGTTCCTCTTTCCATTTTGGATGTTCTCTATTAGTTGTCTCTCTCCATTTTTGGTAAGTTTTTTCAATAAATATACCCATTTACCCTCATTCTCTTTCCTACTTTTTCATTCTCTTTCCTACTTTTTCATTTAAACACAATCCACTACACCTTTTTCACTACCCCTATTATCTTTCTCTTAAAACTTGTGACAAACCCTATAGGGACATCTAATAGAGAACCGAGGGAGTATATGGAAGTTGCGCACCTCGTGACCGTGTTGGGGTGAACGCACTAAGTGTTGGTTTGCAACTCCTTTTAAAAAAGTACTTCTCAGCTTTTGGCTTTAAAAAAACACTTATTTTTCCAAACACTACAACTTTTATTTTTCTCGGCTTCCGTGTCAAAAGTGTTTTTACTTATTCTATTACACAATAAGCACTTATTTTACCAAACACTACCCACTTTTATTTTTCAAAATCACTTTTTTCTCAAACACTATCAACTTTAATTTAATCACGTTTCCCCATTTCATTAAAAAAAGCACTTTTTTAAAAGCAGAAGCTGTTACAAACAGATCCTAAATCCACTCACGGAAGTTGACCCGTGTGGTGAAAATCTATATTTTGCGTAATTAAAATGTTAATGGAGAAAATCGATCAACCAAAAAATTTGAGAGGTTGGCAAATTTTGAGGCTGAAAATCCCGTCTTTTTTTTATCATCAAATCACAGAGCCGTCCATAGGGCCAAGGCACCTAGGCACTTGCCTAGGGCACCAATTTTAGATGGGGCACCATTTTTTTTAAAAAAACCTTCTATTATAATTGGGCTGATCGGAAGAGTTGTCCGATCGCCTCCGTTTGAAATGCTTTTGGGTGTATATTTTGGATGAAATTTTGTTCGCATGTTTCTCATGAAGTTAATATTATGCTCATAAAATTTTACCTTAAAATTCAATTGGGAAGTCAGTGAAATAAATTATTGAAAAATACTGTGTTTTATGTATATTTTTGGCACAATTTTTTTTTAATAATTTATTTAACCGACTTCCTGATTGAGCTTTAAGGTAAAATTTCATGAATATAATCTAAAGTTCATGACAAACATACTCACAAAAGTTTGTCAAAATATGCTACCCGAAAGAAACTCAAATGGAGGCGACCGGACGGCGGTTCTGGTCAGTCCATCTAGATCGGAAGATTTCTCATATATATATTTTTATTTTTTCTCACATACACACGCGCGTGCGCACACACACACACATATTATACTCGGTCAGCCATTAACAAAAAATGAATAGGTTCATGGCATAAAAATAAAAAACAACTTTTATTAATAAAGGAAACAATCTAGGAGACAAGTACATTAATTAACATAGTTCTCGTGATTTGTCTGACGTCATCATCGCAAATGGTTTCCACGAGAAAACTAAAAAATCAAGTTATGTAATCTTTTACGGATTCTATTAATAGGTACGAGAAAATAAATCTGTTTTCTTTGCTTCGAAAAAAGTTTTTCGTCTGGGGCACCAAAAGTTCTGAAGACGGCCCTGAAATTCAAATCAACCTCTCTTCATTAACTCAGTAAATCATTAGCCATCTGGCTTTGAATACAATCTGGTATAGTCAGATACGTACTAACCTGGTCTGAGAGTACGTAAAACATGTGCTCTAGCTAATGCGTGAGCAACACGATTTGCAGACCGTTTACAATAAGAGATCTCAAAATTCCTCTTAAACTCTAACAGAAAATGAATATCATCAAGGATAATATCATCAAGGAAAATCCCGTCTTTAAATAACTCAGTCTGGATGTTTTTTTTAAAATGGCTTTCGGTGAAAAAATTGATGTTTGGCGCAAGCTAATAATAATATTTTGGGTTACGTTTTGAAATAGGAAATTGCGTATCAATTACTATGATCAAATAACTAATGCCGTTGGCAACATTGTTTTTGGCTTATCGGGTTTATCAGTCAACTTTTTTACCAAACACGTAACTTTTGCCTCTGCAAGCTGAATTGTGTAATAAGCTGAAAAAAATAAGGTTGAAGTTGCTTTTCTGGCTGTATTGACTGAAGTTACTGTAGATGATCATTTTAGCTAATTTTCTTTATTTTATCATTTTAGCTATTTTATTTTATTTTACATATAATTTTTTCTTTATTACAACAATAATTTTTTCTTAAATCAGGAGAAACACCCAATGCAGTCACTTCAACCAGAACTTAATAAATTTCAGCAGAATCAGCCAAATAAGCCGATTTTCGTGCTACCAAACGGGCACTAAATTATCAAACATTTTTTGAACCCGTAAACTTATTGAGGGATGGCGTACCTGGGGGGGGGGGGGGGGGTAGCTTATCCGAGGGGTTATTGCTGGAAATAACCTAGAGAGAAGTCAGAGCAACCAAGTAAGAGAGAGAGAGCCAAGTATATTGAATGAACTTGTTCTGGGATCCTTTACAAGAGGAATAAAGGCTGCTATTTATAGCAGCCATAAATGCGATGAGAGTACACGTGTCAATAATCTTAACGGCCGAGGGGTCACCTCAATCGGGGTGGCACCGGCATTTGCATGTGCAACGCTTTAAATGCGGTGGATGGATGTGACGCCGCATTGAATGCGGGGTTGCTTGTCTCTAGAGGAAGCTTCGTAGAGCGTAGACCCTTCGGCCAGTGACATATGGCCGAAGGCTGATGAGTGGCCGAAGGCTAGGTTCATGCTGAGGGCTACATGTAGCCGAGGTCTACTGTTTTCTGCTGTTTTCTCGTAGTAGCTTCGTATGCTCAAATTTAGCAGTCCTGTGGAATTTGGAGCCTTCGATCAAGGAAGCCGAAGGCACCCTTATGCGTATGATGGGTTTCTCCTCGCTTGGGCCGTTATGTTTGGGCATGATGGGCCTGTGTAGGAGAAGTAGGAGTCTGTGGGCCGGGGGTCCTCGGGCCATATACTCCATCACTTATGTTACAGACCTAGCCCATACTAGGCCCGTAGCAGTGCCATAAGCCCATGTGTAGAACTCATTCCTAAAAGACCAACCGATTAGGATGAGGGAACACATTGCTTATAAGCCACCGGTCAAGCCCATACTTGACCGGTGTTAGATAGTAACAATACCCCACACTTCGAAGAGCCAACGTCCTCGTTGGTCACGGTTGGCACCCCCCAGGGCCCAAGCCACCACTCCATAGGCCACCACTCCGAGTGTCGGGACTAGGAAGATGGGGACGACTATGATACCCGTTGTTACGGACCTAGCCCATATTAGGCCCGTAGCAGTGCCATAAACCCATGTGTAGAACTCACTCCTAAAAGACCAGCCGATTAGGAGGAGGGTACACATTGCTTATAAGCAGCCGGTCAAGCCCATACTTGACCGGTGTGAGATCGTAACAACTTATTCCATGACTCGAATCCGAAGTCATCCCATTCATCAAATCTTCGTATTGAGTCCACTAAGATGCCAACCACGCGCTTTATATATATGCATACTGAGTACTTCCACCTTCCCTTAAACTTTGTCATCTTTCAGTTTTTGGATGTCCTAATAATTATATCACTTTTCCTTTTAAGTAAAAAATTTATGGTTCCAATTAATTGTCTCTCTTATGTACAAACTTCAATCAAACAATTTTTACTTTATTAACATCGTGCCGGTCAAACTAAACAAAGTTTTAAGGGACGGAGAGAATATTACATACTACCTCCATCTCTAAATGTTTGTCCTAGTTTGACTTCGCATATATTAAGAAATGATGAATTTGACTTTACACTGCAGTGACACTGTTTGACACTGTAGCAACACTGTTTGATACTATTTTGTATTGTTTGACACTTTTTGATAAAAATATGTTTGCCAAATAAGGAAAGGAAAAAATATGACAAATATTTTGGGACATCCACTTCCAGAAAGTAGGACAAATATTGAGGGAGGAGTATAACATACCACGTATGTATACTCCCCACAGAAGTACTCCACACATATATATAAATATTCGGTATATTGCATATTCAGCTCACCTCTGATCTGTCTTCAACCAGCATAACGCGGCGCCACAATTTGTTTGGAGTCTTATTGCATAATCTTGTCATCACGCGCGTATATATGCTATATATAACCCGTCTCCACTAATTCTATCAATATCCTTTCTTTTGATTCGAGGATTAATTGCAAAATAATTAAATGGCCGGCCGTCATCCTCACCCACATCATCATCTCTTGGTCGGCGCCGTCCTTATTTTCACAATCGCCGGCGTTTCCTCCTCTGTTTCTGGTTGTGACAGCTGTGTTCATCAAACCAAAGTCTCTTACTTCTCTAACGCTTCTGCCCTCCTCTGTACGTCCTCACGCCTATCTTTGAATTCTCGATATGAATAGCTAATTTAATCTGGTATTTATATCTATGTGTAAATAATATGGTGAATTGCAGCCGGTGCTTGCGGGTATGGATCGATGGCCGTTGGTTTATACGACGGCGGACGAATAGCTGCGGCCGCGCCAGCAATCTTTAAGGACGGTGCCGGATGTGGCGCCTGTTATCAGGTCGGCTTTTCAATTTAATCACCTCTGTTTTACATGAATGAAATTTAAATGTACCATCTGCATCCAAATTGATTTTTCGTGATCAAAATGTTTCATTTTGTTTATTTCAATTTTTTATTATATTTGTAGTTTAGAGTTTACTACTTTAAAAAGATTTTAATATAGTTTCTACGTATGTAAATTTTAATTATAGAAAACCAAATTAATTATCAATATGAGGATTTTAAGTGTAAGGTCTGATGGCCTCTTTTCCCTTTATCTTACATGCAAGACATTTGAGAAAACTTTTTGGACACATTTTTAATCTTTACAAGCTTTTACACAAAAGCTTTTAACTATGAATACACTGTTGACAGGTAAAACACGTTTTTTCTATGAACAAACAAAAAAACATTGACAAGCGTGTGTAAAAAGTGTGAAAAGACTGAAACACTAAAAGTTTGTGCATAAAAAATTGGTGAAGAAATTTACCGGAACCATGATAATAAATAAAAATTGTGTAGTTTAGATTTATATATTAAGTGAAATCATAAATGAGAAAGTTAACAAAATTTTAAGAGGAAGGAATCATACCCAAATACTACTTCTATGCAATGTTCTAAAAGCCGTAAGGCGTGCCGAGGCGGCAGGCCAAGCCTCAAGCCTTTGAAGCCTAGGCGGGCTTAGGCGGGGTTGAAGCGTGAAAAGGCATTTTCAGTTTTTATCCATTGTTTTATTTTCTCTACAACTATTTGTAAATATTTAAATTGAATATGAAATATTTTTTTTTAAAAACATCATACTATTCAAATTTCTAACAAAAAAGATTTGTCAAGTCCTATATTTTGCAAATATATTTATAAATACCAGAACTAGAAAAACTCGTTCAATTATATAAAAAATAGGGAAAATGGAAATTAATAATCCAACCTTTTAGCGGTCTTCTTACAATAGTCCCACCGTTTCATTATTCAGGAATAATCAAACATTTGCATCTCATCTTCATTTAATGGTTTTTGACCGGTTGATGACTTGTTATTCCAAGTTATTTTCTTATCTTTGCAAAACATTATGTGACCATAAGGTGAGATTTATGTTTTAAAATTTTACAAAAAACAAGAAAATAATAGACTAAGCACTTAAGATAATAGTGTCAACAGATTGTTGGACATTTAGCCTACGTATAATAGACTAAGCACTTTTTATGTAATTTGTACCCCTAAAAGTATTGGGTGTAATTTAGTTGAAAAATGCGTTTGACTTGGTGTTATTTGTGTCATTGTGTGTAGAGTTTTTTCTCGTAGGAGGTTTATTAGATACGCTTTGCTCATTTTAGTTTTGCATATACGCGTCCCACACCGGAAGGAGAGGAAGAATTCCTCCTTCAAGCACGCTATATATTAGAGACAACCCCCACGATCTAAATTAGGTGGTCAAGTAATTTATCCTCGGTACTGAAGGCGGCCTCCCCGTTAGATGCCGTCGAAATTAGTGAAAAAAATTATATATCGTGGGCAAGCCCGTCTTTAGTCACGCATATTGACTACGCGGGGCGCATTTACCACGCCTTGTGCCTATTCACGCGTATTAGAACACTGCTTCTATATTGATATTTCCAATATTATAACTTGTAAACAATGTAAAGCATCTAATTCATTTTGCTACTTCAACCAACCTTCTACTCTTATTTTACTCTTATTTTAGAATATTTCATATTAATATTCCTGTTTAGGGGTAACTTATTAAAATTTTACTCCATGATTAACTATAATTGGGGACATGTTTGGCGTGGTCGCTGCAGATGAGTTGCAAAGACACAAGTATGTGCAAAAAAGAAGGGACGACAGTGATGGTCACCGATCTTAACACAAACAACCAAACACATTTTGTGATCAGCAGCAGAGCTTTCATGGCCATGGCTAAACAGGGCAATGAACGAAACCTTCTTAAGCTTGGCATTCTCGAAGTCGACTATAAAAGGTATTCTACACTACATAACGGGCCATCTTTTGAGTCCATGAAAATATTATTTTCTTGGCCATGAAATTAAACAACCCTATTACGGAACCCTATTACGGAGTAATAGCTTTCCTCTAATTGTTTAATTTGTAATGTTATGTAAAATGTATTTACATTTTAGGTGACAACTCCCTACCCATTTAAAAAATGGGTATCATACCCATTATTCACTTGATATGTCTAAATCATTATATCATTTTCAATTTAAATAATTCAAGTACATCATTTTGATTAGTTCATGTGGACAAATGTATGGTCACTTTTAAGAGTACCATAAAATCTACCTACATTTTATTTCCTAGAAGGTTTTTTAAACGTATTTTAAAATGTTAATAATTAGTTTTACATTATTTTAACTCTCGCATACGGGTTTAAAGGTATATAATGCACGTTTTCTTTAAAGTGGATTTCACGTAAGATACTTTACCCTCGAGCTCTTAAGCTTACATTTAGATAGGCAATATAATATAATGGATTTATTTTAATTTATAATAATGTTCCTTGTAAGTGACGGAGTACTTTTTTTCAATTCTTCCAAGTAGAAAAGAACAGTAAAGATAAGCGCATACTGGTCTTTTTTTTTTGTAAATAAACACTAGGCACATCAGCGTCTATCTTTCATTCACGATCCATTGAAGTTGAGAAACTTCTAACAAATCATACAAAATGTGTAGCGATAAAGTATGATCATCAATACAGAGTGAAATAAAGGTCTATTTGACTATATCATTCTGGCCTATTTAATTATCATTCTATCTTAATGAAAAGAAATTGGATAAAGTTGAAAAACAGATGGAAAAGTTATTGAATAATAGAAGAGAAAAATGACAAATAGTCACCAAGTTTTCAATCATTTCGAACTAATTGGCCAAAAGTTTCTATTATTAGAGATTTATATATGTGTGTATTATTAGAACCACAATCACTGCTCCCATGACATATCATCAATAATTGTCTAATTGAAAAAAAGAGGCGTGTTTGTTTCGATCGATTTCCGTCTTAGATAAACATGGGACAGTAGTTTCGTTTTTCTACAACAACATGACTTTTTCATGACCACTAGCTAACGCACGCACGCACTAATGAGAGGCTATTATTATGTCATGCATTAACAATCTTGGATTCAAACGTATGTAGTGTGAGGGCAATACAAAATATTCCAATACTTAGCTTCATTCCAAATTTGATTCATATGATAACGGAAATTCAAATTATTTTAATTATGTAAGAATAAATATATATGTAGAGGCTTATGTCTATTTGATTCCTTTGCACGGCCTCAAGTTATATATGGCTCTTATTGCCTACGATGACTAGCTACTACAATCAAGGGCGGATCCAAGAATCGGGATAAGACTGCATTGAAGAAATATTTAATTTACCTCCGTCTCATTTCAATCTCTTAATAAAGTGATTGAAAAATTGGAAATTTTGTTTGAAATTTGAGTATAATAAAATACTCCGTAAAATGTTATGAGCCGCAAATATCTTTCAATACAAATATGGCTTGTGATTATTATAAGAACAAGAATTTGGCGATCCGTGTGGAAGAATCGAGCCAAAAGCACAATAATTACCTAGCGATTAAGTTCCTTTATCAGGCTGGCCAGACTGAAATTGTATCTGTTGACGTGGCTCAGGTTTGTAGTAGGCCCCACTATTATTATTATTATAACTCTTTTCATCATTATCATGTTTTCATGTTCTATTTATTAAAAGGCTAATTCCACTTAACAAAAAATCTTGTGGTACATAGGATTAGTACATGTTTGTGTAAGTAATTTATGCACCCATTTTATGTACACAAAAAATTAAACTTCCACTTAATCCCCACAATTTGTGGTAGAAGTAACAAATTTCAATTGAGTTTCACAAGGAAATCATGAATTGATCACATTGACCAACTAATTGTTTTAGATATGTTCTCAACTATTATAAGCGGGTAAATATGAGCCATTTTGATTAAATTGTCCGCCATAATTTGTTTAATCAGTTCAGTAGGAGTAATAATGGATTGTTATTATTTTTATTCTTATTTAATTGCAACAGTTTGATTGAGTAATCATATGTTCAGGTGGGGGAGTCGTCAAGTTGGACCTTTATGACCCGCAAACATAATGCTGTCTGGGAGACTAGCCAAGCGCCAACCGGGGCATTGCAAGTCCGGTTCGTGGTAACGGCGGGATACGACGGCAAGTGGTATTGGGCAAAGAAGGTGTTACCATCAAATTGGGAAAATGGGGTGACATATGATTCCGGATTACAGATCACCGACACCGCCGAAGAGGCGGGTTGTTCTCCATGTGGCGGCGACCCCGCCACCGCCGCCTAGGTACAAAATTGACCCTAATTAAGCAACCTACCTGACATAGCTAACTTCCCATGCCACGCACCCTAGATTGAATTAATTGTACCATTGCATTCTGGTGTAGAGTTCGTAGATTGAGCGCGCTGTACTAAATATACTTAGAAGTATATTATACGGTTGTAAAGTTCTAATTTATATCTTGCATCCAATAAACTGATTTACATCGAGATCGATCAGAAAAAATTAATAAAGCTTGTAACGTTTCTAATTAATAAAGCTTGTACGTTTCTATCTAGCTAGACAATTTTGTTTATAAAATAATAATAATAGTGTATGAAAGCATGAATCTTAACACCGATTGAAGTTTGTACTAATATAAGTCATTGTTCGGCTCATGTTTCATATGTACCAGATGCACCTTATTAGCTAGTTCGGAGACCTAAATTAATTTAAACAACTATCATTATGATGTGCCGATTGCGTTATAAAATTAATTACCTAAGAAAAATATAAAATACTACGTATAACATACGCGCCCAAAATTTTCATCCCTTAATTAGGCAATTAGCTAGTAATATGATATTATCTCTATCTATATATAATGAAAAGAAACAATGTCATAGTATATATAGTTATATACTTCTATCAGTTCAATTCCTTGACTCCCTCCTAAATTCCACTTTTGACATTACAAAAAGAACTTATTTAAGAGCGCACTATAAAAAGGCTTTTTAGTGGTAACATTAAACTTTTTTTTAAATAATGACCAACGCATTAAAGCCATAAACCATCCATTAGAACAAATTAAATATAAGTATTAGTGATCAGAAATCATATATCCATGACCACGCACATATCGATCAAAAGTTTCATTGTACTGATCAGTCCTTTCTATTTTGAATTATGACGAGTGTGAGCGTTTATAAGACATCTGAACCAATTTGATAAACATATATGTAGATGTATTATCTAATATTGATTATGAAAAGTATTGATAGAGTTGAATTAGATTTGACCAATTTGGCTTTAAAAGCCACTTTAGTTGTGAATGCCTAAGGAGCTGAGCTTGTGGTCGCAAGGCTAGTGAATTAGTGCCTTATTTGAAAAATACGTTTGTGGATTTCTTTCGTTTTGCTTATTATTTCAGCTCTATTTTGTAGTCCGTTTCTATTACAAAGGAGTGTTTACAAAAACTTAAAAAAGGTTTTTTAACCTTTTGACTTAAAAATAGTTGGAATAAGTTGGAAGCAATAGAGTCGTGGGGTGCTTTAAAATGTTTTTCACATTTTATTCCACATAAAGTACAAATTTTACAAAAAACTATTAACTTTTACTTTTTCAGAACTATTTTTCTGAAACACTACTAAATTTTACTACTACCTCCGTCCCTAATAAAACTTCCAATTACGGGTTACGAAGTTTGACCAGCGATAAAGTTAAATGATCCCGGTGAAAACTCGGATTATTTTTAGTAAATAAAATTTACATATTCAGAAACTACATTAAACCCGCTACAAAGCCTGCAAAAAATAATTCAATTTTTATAAATTTTTTATATATAAAGTAAGAGTTTAAGTGTGATTTAAGTTGACTCTCGAAAAGCGAAATGGAAGTTTATTTAGGGACGGAGGGAGTATTAAGCATTTTCTTTAAAATCACTTTAAAAACCGCACACGGTCTCTAAATATGGGAGCCAACTAACTTAGATTTTTGTGGTTAATTTCGTGAAACGGTCAGGAACCCATGGTCTATATAGTTTGGACATTTCCATTACTAGTACGTGGACCTGCAAAAAAACGGACTCGGATCAGGTGTTTTTAAAATTTTGTGAACTTGCTCAATTCGTAAAAAACGGGTTTAACCACATGTCCATACCTGCCGGTAAGGCTGTAAGAAGGCCGAAAAGTCCACCAGACCACTCGGAAAAATAAATATTGGACTTGGGCTCGATCATCGAAATAGCTCATTACAAGAAAGCACAGCATTATACGTTAAAACCCATAACTATTGCGAAAAAATTGAACCTTAGCCCAGCGTACTAACAAACTACATTTGACGGCAAATAATTGGGGGCATTGATTAGTGGCCAGAGAGCCGTCGGAGAAGGTAAAAAGTCAAACGGGTAAGTGATAATAATTACAATAGCCGGTGCCGGATTCCGGCGGCGACACTTCTATCAAGCTATGGCGGATCGCAAGTCTTTTCTTGGAAATAAGTATTGGGTGCTCAGACATGGCAGAAGCATTCCGAATGTATTGGAACTCATTGTTTCGTCAATGGTGAGTTACGTTCTCTCTATCTATAACTATTATGTCTATGATAATCTCTCCGTTACCTTCCATCGACGTTGATTGATTAAAAAAACGGGCGTATCTGTTTGGATTAGGAAAATGGCATCCTCGAAGAGTATGGATTAGCACCCAGAGGTGTTGAACAAGCTCTATCAGCCGGGGACTCATTTCGTGAGGTGATTATAACTCTGAATGTAATAAACTACTACGTAATAATCAATCAATTATAATTTATAAAACACCACCATAATTTATTGATAAAATCATAAATTATACGGAGTACGTAGTGGTTTAGGATTAACTTGTTTTATCCGAAGTAAGATTTATTATAAACTAAAAATACTACGTAGACACGTAGTTAACAAATAATATTTCAAAAAAGCCATTCCTGCACCTTGTAATGCATTGAGTATGATTGAGATAGTAAATACTAATTGGATAACTTGTGTTAGTGTGAAGAAAAATATATCTAAAGAACATGTACATGGCTCACACAAACAACCATTGTTGTATATGAAAGTATGAAACATACTAATTTGCGCCTGGTGTGAAATAAATTTATCCAAAAACTTATGAATTGTTAACACAGACTCAAACATTGATTTGTGTGCTGATCTGTGTGCTTTGGCACAAAACCAATACTTTGTATATTTTACCCCATATTAGCGGTCTGTATCAAGACATTAATTTAGTACACCAAGCATAATTGTTAATATTTAGGTTTGAATTTGTCCGGTTTAAGAAAGAGCAGTGGCAATCCTATCAGAGATTTTTTTTCTTATAAAAGTTAAGATTAGACTGTTGCTGAAAATCAACATTTTCTTGACTGATTATTGGTCGATGTCGATAAAAAAATGATAGCTGATCTGGAAGGAAGGAATGACATGTTCTAGTGGAGTTCATTTTTTATTTATTTTGGTTATTCAGTTTTACAAAATCCAAAGCTGAGGACCAAATTGAGTTACTTAAGTCAGGTTTAATTGGGTTAGAGTGAGGTTCAGCTGGTTTTGACACATCTCAGTTGATTATGAAAGGATGAACCTTAAATGGTAACCGAATCACATGATTTGGCTGTTTTTTTATCGCCTCTGCCTCAGTTTGTCTGTTTTTTGTTCATCCATAGCATATCCCATCATTTTATTTCTTACACACTTCCAGGAGTTGAAGAGAAATAGCATTGAGCTTGAGAGGGTCCGAATCTGCTACTCCCCATTCTCAAGGACCAGACAGACTGCACAACATGTTGCTTCTCGTCTCGGGATTCCTTTTTTTGAGGAAGGGCCTCCAGCACCTCAGTGCATGGCATGTTCCTATTTTCTTTCTTTTCAAATTGGTCATCTATATATAATCTATCTATCTATCAAAGACCACGTTTGTATTTGCTTGTCCATCCCCAAGAATGGTTCCCTTGCTAACAGGTTATAAATGATCTCCGTGAGCGCTTCTTTGGTCGCACTTTTGAGCTTCGGTCACATGATAAGGTAAGACTGAAATTCATTGCTTGTTTAACCTCGTTCCTATGTTGCATTCTGTTTATCATCTATCTATTTGTCTTTCTCATACTCTGTAATAATTAAGGGTCGGGATGGATTGCCTTGTTTGGCTTTTTTGTAGTACCAAGAAATTTGGGCACTAGATGAGGAAGACCCTTTCATGCGGCCTGATTTGCATGGAGAAAGTGTTGCAGATGTTGTTTCCAGGCTTACAAATGCAATCACCACCATTGAGTCAAGTTTTCAAGGGTAATAACTCCACTAAATATTGGATCCCATATGGCAATACTTCAGTATTGGCTGAACATGATGAATTTATCGAAATGATTGTTGAATATGCAGTCATGAAATACATGTTATTAAAGAAAGAAAATGGTATGAAAAAGAGAAGTTAAATTGTCCCTTTTCAGGAAATTTAGCCAGAAAATTACCTCTGACTTTGATTTTATTTTATGTTTGACCAATTTAGTGTGTGAGAACAGTGAGATCAATAAATTAGTGTTTGTAAATAAATCTGGCTGATAAGTAAGAAAACATTGCTGCTAGATGTGCTCGTAGTAATATCACGTGCCTTTGCTTTTTTCTAGGTGTGCGGTGTTGATCGTGAGCCATGGCGATCCACTTCAAATTCTGCAGACAGTCCTTGGAGCGGCGCTCCAAGGAGAGAATACTGCTACGGATGACTGCAATCAAAATTTGGCCTCAAGGATAGCAGCCGTAACAGTCTCATCTGTTCTCTCCCAGCACAGGAAGTTTTTTCTTGGCACAGGAGAATTGCGTGCACTTCCATAAATTACTTACCCTTTCATTTCTACAATAATGTAATGTCTATTTAAATTTAAACCACTGTTAGAATGATCAGAACCCAATGTGATCACTTACCACACAAAATGTAAAGGTTGGAGTTCTAGCGTCGTGAAGTCTGTGATTTAGCTTTACGCACATCTCAATGTTCTTAGTCATTTGTGTTATTACAAAAGCACATGTAATATTGTAACAGATATCCGAATGTACAACTTTAATGAACGTGAACATTTGGCTATGGTAAAAGAGTGGGAAGGGAAGAGAATCAAGATATAAACTAGTTCCAAAACCTTTCACATGAAGTATATTACTCCTATTTTGAAATAAATTTGTACATTTCTTTTAAGTTCCTAAGACTTGACCCTGACCTATAGAAAAGTTTACTTATAGGTTCCCAAGACTTTAAACTGCTCTGTAATAAATTTAGTTTGTGATACAAGTCATCAAATAGTAACCTTACAATAACAACAATAGGAAACTTATAACAATACAATGAAGATCTATTCCGCTAGAGCAAAGCTCTCTCTTTCAGTACAGAGTAAAGTCATCCAAAAAAATTAAAGTGAGCCCAAACGTTAGCAGAAAATTGGTGCAGACTGTCAGAAAGGTGTTGATGTCAGCTGTACTCTGATCGGTGTTCACCAAGCAGCCTGAAAACCGATGCATGTCAGACACCTTGTATCATCACAAATTGCATAAGAATACCAAAATATCTTTGCAAGAAAGATGAGATGACATACCCAAATGGAATA